ATTACGAATTTTGTTTCTCTCGAGTGTTCTATTTTTGATCTCTGTAAACAGAATTACTGGTAATCAGTGTTTCAGTTAATGCAAACGCTTGCACCATTTACCATTCAAGATAAAATGTTTAACTTTGCCGTGGCGTTGGGACCCGAAAGGAGGAGGTACGACGGATTTGCTCAGATTAAGCGTAATTAAATTGTACTCGATCGGTAGGAAAAAGCTTAGTACTCAGGGAAGACGTAACGAAACGTTCATCGTACGTAAAACTACTTCGTAATCTGCCGGAGGAAAGTTTCCTTGACTTCGAATCGTCAGAGTTGGGACGACTTTTGACCTCGAGATTCCAGAGTCAAAGTACTTTCGAGTTCCCGAGTTTCAGAGTTTCAAAGTCTACACGTTAATAATGTAATAATAAGTAAATGTTATTGCTGGTACTCACCGATATTGGACACAGGCGCACTCCATGAACCGATATCTGCACTATAATTCAATTATGGGTTAGATTGTTCTTAACCACGTTGTCGGAAAATCACGTCACTTTATTAATAATATACGGTTGTCTTTCCAGCTATTGTTCTCACAGTTCATCTTAACGTGTTCAATAAACTAATATTCTAACGTTAAATACTGCGCGTTGCTGCCAGTTAGTGTTAACATACGTCTTTTACGAAACCCGGCCGAGGATGCCAAAAAGTAATCCGAGTCGTTGCGAGAACATTGTTCCGAAAGTGACGCGATTCAAACGCGTCGACATTGAACTGTCGAGGTCAGTGCATTTTCATCGGAAACTTACCAAGGCTGGTCTTCTGTCTTCGAGCTGTCGCAGCCTGGACGTTTTGAAACGTGAACTTCGGCATTCGCACGTGCACCAGGGCAACACACGCGTTTCCCAGCGGATCGGGGCCTGCCAGCACGTGCATCAAAACTTGGTGAGCGTTCACGATATGTTTCTCCAAAAATAAAAGTTTTAGCTTGTAACGCGGCCGCCCGGCGGCGCCTCTTTCTCGAAAGGTTCTCGATTTAATTTTAGTACTTGCGGACTCAGTCTACACGCGAGATCCATCGAGGCGAAACTCAGTCCGCGAACGCGACACGGTAATCCGGATATCGGTTCTCAATACCTGAGAGTTCGAGGAAAAAAGGGACCGTATTATTTCGTCAGTCTATTCGTGCCCGTTGGCGAAGGACGAATTGGTGTATACATGTTTTGAATTGCTCGAGATACGTCGTTGTCCGTGTTTCGTCGCGATCGGTTTATACGCGTTACCGAAACTCGAGGTAATATTTGAGGTTAAGCTAGCTTAAGTTGAGCTTAAAATATCTTATTTTCTTCGCGATCTCGGCGCCGTAACCTATTTAGAATACAATGGTTCGATATATTCGTAAATGGTGGAACAGTTCCTGCTCTGTCTAGTTCTTTAAGAAATATCGAAAGATCGAGGAAACAGAACGTGATCCAAGAATATCCGCGTCCCTCGAATCTCGCAAGGGCAGCTGAAAGTTCAATATCCTCAACGAAAGCAGCGTTTACTCGCCTCTGTCCATGCCTAAGTACAATCCTTTTGCAAAGAAAAAACAGTATGAACTCATATTTGATATTAGCATTCATTCAAAATTCGATTTGTCTCCGATGCGACTATAATGTTGTTTTTTATACCGCAACCTCAATTTTAAATATCATTTTGGGATATTTAACGTGGCCAGCGTTGATAAAGTCGCGGTCAGGAACGAATCGTCGCGATTAATTTGCTGTTCCAACGAAGTAAAAAAACGTATGCAATTTTGAACATAGCTTTCTAGCAGCTGCCCATGCAGCGATATCTGGTATGAATGATATTGGTGTACTTGTAACGTTCGATGGACTGATTTGGAACTGATTCCGTTATCTCTAGCCATTTGTCGAATACTGATACTGGTCTCTGGATTTGCAATAATTACAGACAATACATTAATCGCATTATCGTCATTTGTTACAAACTTACTTCCGTTTTGTCGAAGATTCCTTTCGCGATGTAAACATGCTACGTGAAATTGTTTAATATAAATTATTTATAGTTGCTCGCATATAATTTACTGCATACTGCTTACTAACAGATACGTACACGATAGTCTTTTTTGTTGATTACGAAAAATAATACGCATGAAAAATTAGATATATTTATTAAGCAGAATTATTTTTAATTGGAAACTTTCACTTTATTCATTTTATATTTAGTAATGAGAATAAATTTACCAATATATAGGGTGTTCGGCCACCCCTGGAATAAATTTCAATAGGAGATTCTAGAGGCCAAAATAAGACGAAAATTTTATTAAAAAATTAAATTAAAAGATTTCAAATCATTCTGAAAAAATTATTTTTAGTTGCGGGGATCAAGTACAGTAATTTTTGGTGAATAGACAAACCCTCGAAATCCTACCCACTTTCGAGGAAAAAAATTCGAGAATTTGGATAACATTTTAGCAACGTTACGGCGATTTAAAGGCTGAGTGAATATTGAAAGAGTTTCGTCCGGCTTTTCGCGGTAAATACCCCAATGTGCGACGTCTGAAAGCGCTTTCTACATTTCTGGGGGGACTGAACTTTGGTTCAGCGGCGTTTATCCGCACTTGTGGGTCTCCTGGTCCTGACTATTATGCAGCTTGAAAGCGGGAGATCACGTAGTTCGTCACGGAAGATTTCTGGAATTTTCGATAAACCGCGAACCACGGTTAATGGCGTTGCCTCCTCTTCCATCACCCAGGGGCAAAAACTTTTGCGCGAATTCTCGATGTTCTGGCGACTGAATTTACCATCGCTCGCAGAGAGTTTGTACGCCCTTCGGTCTACGTAACGCGGTTCCTCTGGATGCAGATCGTGTTAAGAATATCGATAAACGTGTCACGTAGCTGGAATATCTCGTCTTGCTGTGGTTTCCGTGTATTTCTTTCCGTTTTTCCCTTTCACGCGGGCAACCCACGACGATAGAAAAGGGCGGTTTATTCCCGGGCGACAATTAGTCACGATGAAAATTACGTGTATTCATAATTTAACGCTATTGACCGCTTTTAAGCGCGCATTAAAGCGGCCCCGGTTTTATTTCGTGCCGCGTAATCCGGTTTGTCGTTTTACGCGCGTTGCAAGGGTGTTTCGTAAATTTCGTTGAATGATTTTCACGGTGAAACGGAAGCTCTTTTGATGGCTGCTTTGTAAGAGGCGTGAATGGAGTAAATTGAAACTTTTCAGCTTCGGTTCGTGCAAGCTTGACGCTACGCTTTTAAAGTCGACCGTGATTTATTTCTTTTAATTGATTTGCCGAATTATTCAAACAGAGAGCTGAGAGTTCTACATTTCGAAAAATGATTAATCGCCCCCTGTCGCGTATAAATCGATCGAAACGAAATTTATCGTTTCATTCTTTTGCGATTTTCCTTATATTCAGAATGTTTTTTACTGAATACTATCTGCGAGAAGTATCAATTCTATCCTCGATTTCTCGATCAATAGACAAGTAATTTTTATTCAATAAATCATACAGATTTACTGAAACTACCAAAACATTTAATTCCGAACACTGAAACTTTTTTAATCATTGCTCTTTTCGAAACCCATCGCGAGGATGTAACGGTTCCAAAATTACAAATCTAAAAGTAACTTTTCCTTGTTCAAAAGTATAGATAATATTTCAACCCTCGTTAGTATCAGCCCCCACTCAATTCTAGCCCCGTTATTCGAGCGTAAAGTCGGCGGGTTAAACGTCCATAGGCCATAAAAACGTCATAAATCCCGGCGTGGAAATCTTCCACGGAGGAGGAACTGCACGGCCTGGTCGCGAACGTGCGCGAAAGTTTACCAACAGGAGGACCGTTCTATTTGGGTCGAAAATAGAGTGCACGCACCGTTCTGTCTCCCTCCCTCTTCGCGTACGTGCGTTCACCCTTGTTCGGACCAAGAATATCCCTGGTGGGGGACAGCGAACAGGGTCCCCTCCGCCTTTTAATCGCCATCAGCCCGGTCAACGTAGCGCGAAACCGAAACCGCCGCGGTTTTGAAGCCTGTCAACTATATTTAAAACATTCGCGGTCGAAACGGGAAAGTAGCCGCGCGCGAAACTGAAGAGACCGACAGCGAGCACTCGGTTTCATTTGATCGTCGAACGTATGCACTACCGCGAACATTCTCCACGTTCGTGTTACGTGTCTCCAATTGCTTTTTCAGAAGACGATTATAGACCCGCGCGAGCAGTTGCTCGAAATAATAACGAACAGTGGCTGAGAGTGGAAGATAAGGTTCCCAACAGTCGACCGAAGATGACTGTTGTATAAACTATTTTTAGACAGTATCTCGTAAAGAGAGCATAAATACGAAAGGAACAAATTGAATTGATTCCCGAAGAGTTGATCACATGATTAATCAGAGACTAATGTGTTGTCAATTGTTTCTTCAGTCCACAAATAAATAGAACAGTGTGAGATTCCAAGATCGTATTTTAATATTCAGTCGTGTATTCAATTGTATATTCGGTAACGCACAGTTGATGGGTGAGAGTTCGTTCGCTATTCAGTAGACAATAAAAGACTGGATCGATACCGTGGACAATAACAAAGAATCGTGACGATGTATCATCGCGAAACGCGCCTGTGCATCGATCGCTGTCGTTCCGTAGGCGACCAGGAAACGATCGTCGAAAATGTGAGACTCGCGAGCACGTGGTGCCAAAACTAACTTGGAACGATCTTGGCACGGCTCGGGGAAGATCGTGCGCCTCTTGGACAACCGTCGAAATAGCGCCGTCCGTGAAAGCTCGAGTCCTCCGTACGATAACAGGACAGCAGAGGTCGGTGGGGAAGAGTTTCCCCTCGCATCCGGCGGAGGAACGGAAGAAGCAGAAACGTTGAAAAATTATTTTTACCTCGCCCGTCGACTGGTTTCGGACGCGCCTGATTCCGTCGTGGCCAGTCGAGCCTCAAGGTGTTCCAGCGACAGTTCGTTGCCGTATTTTCCGGCCGTCGAGCGACCAAAACAAATGTCGAGGATGCTACGATTGGAGCTGGTGGGTCTCGTGCTGCTGGCCTGCACCCAGATCCTCACGGAGCATCGCGACCTCTACGAGTCCAGGACCCAATATGGCTACCACTCGAGGTTACACGAGTCCCTGGAACGCGTCACCAGAGAAGTAAGAGTGAAACACGGACGTCTACGCGGGGTAGTGGTGCAGCCACGGACCAATCACGATCTGCAGCCGGTCGACGTTTTCCTGGGTGAGTTTGATTATTTCATGAGTCTTAAATACGTCCCACAACCGAAAGGGAAACGATTTTTCGCGAAATAGCTAGTCAAAAATGTGGAATAAAATGTTTTCGTACGAGGCGTACTGTTTTGAAAGTTCTCGGTTCTATGTTTACAAGAGAGCTGCCCAAAGTGATAGCGTAGGATCGCGAAGTAGTTGAAAATATTCGACGCGTAATTTTTGTTATCTACTACGATTTTTAGATAAAAGATAAGTTTATTAGTAATTTATCAGAATGTTTGCACATCGTTCGTAAACGATACCAAACCGATCGAATGTCGTTCAGGGATTCGTTTCTCTTACGTTTGTGTGACTCAACTCTCTTAAAATAGACACCGTCTTTTAAGTCTATGGGGTATTTCACACATGTCGTTGGATTTCATCGTGTCGAATAAAAATGTATTTATACGAATATGAAGTTACAACTTCAAAAAGTATACTCGCTCTAAACAATTCGACCAACTATACGGAAACAAAGCAAAGAAGACATAGGAATTCTCTTTACAATTTTTCACACATTTCGTCTCATTCTGCATTCATTATTTATTGATCGCGAAATATCTATTTTATCACCTCCCTTCATTCAGCGCGGTTCCAATTCATAAAAGAGTAATCTCTGTAAAATTTTAACTCGATCTGATCACGGGAAAACGTGTCCCAAAGTCATTGAAGTTTTACAGGTTTGTAGGTTTTCAAAGGTTCAAAGGCTTTGGGATACGTTTTCCCGTTATCCAATCAAATTAAAATTTCGCAGGGATTACTTTTTTATTAATTGGAACCATTCTGGAACGGAGAATTGGACCGAAATAAAACTTGTAAAAGTAATTTCGACAAGTTTAATACCCCAGGACGTTCTAATACACTCGAAAAATTACAACGAATTGCACGTATTATTTCGACGACATCGGAGGGAATTTGGCACTGCTGCTCCTACGCTTGGTTATGCAAGAATTGTACGTTTAGTCGGTTATCTCAATGAACGTTAACTCATGAATAAACATGTATCACGTTCGAACGAATGATACTCTTATTCAAACACGAGTACTGATGTTTCTTCAATTAGATCGGTACGGTGATTCATTATTTCGCTTTTCGCTCAAGCTATCAACCCCATGAAGTACCTTAGGATTATCAATAAAAAGGAATGTACTTCACAAAATCATTCCACTCGATTTTGTATTCATTAATGCACCATCGTTTCAAGAGTCAATTTCTCGAAATCGCGCCGAGTACGTAAACGTGGAACAGCGTTCGAGAAATGATACCGCAGCGAAAGCAAATTTTCACCGAAATGTAAATCAGCGTAGCAAGTGTGCATAGTCGAAAATACGTTCTTAGATCTCGGAGTAGTCAATCGTGGCTATTGAAATCCGTTCACAATCATCGGTTAACGTACCATCGGCAGTGAGTTTTGAACTTCGGGGCCCAATCACAGTCCCTCCACCCTTTCTCAATCGAACCCCGCAATCCCTGCAGCTACCGCGGAAAAGGGGGGGGGGGGGGGCGATAACACGCCGCGATTTCTAGTTTCCGTTCGCCGATACGGTGAACTTTGGTCAGCTAGCGAAAGTTTCCTCGCAGCCGCATCAGGCTCTCTCGCTCGCATTGCTGCCTAGTATCCGCGCTTCGAGAATCCCGATACGTCAAAGGTTTCGAGAACGAGGACCGGTGGTTGCTATTTCGGGAATACACGCCTCCCCTGCCCTGTTCCCCGATTGTCGCGCGTGCACGCTGAATTCGTCGGAACGGCCGTGCACTTTCTCGAGTTCTCCGGGAGCCCGTGACATTCCTTGGCATCAGCGATGGGACCGAAACGTACTCACATCAACCAAATTATTAATTGCACGCGTCAATTCTTGAAAGTTGTAAAAAAAATTCCCTCGTTTGTAACTCATCGCGAATCGATGGATGCTCCCAGTAAATAAGCGAAATAAGATTCCTGCAATAATGGACCGTCATGACTTCTACTTAATTGGACCAAGCAAACAAATTCCTCCAAAACTGTATTCTTAAAACTTCATTCCATGGAAACGAATGCAATTGCAGACTTTCTCTTTGATACAATATTTACTTGCATCTTGAAGAGTAAGACATTTTCTTTTTAATCGATACATATTGATACTAATAAATAATTTGGTTGAATTGGTCCCATCACTACTTGGCACTGATCCGACGTCCACTACGTACTCTCGCGACGAGGTTCTTCGCGTGGAAGCGGTTCCGGTGGAAACTGACAATAACTCCGAACTACATTCGCTGCTGCATTTACGTTGACACACTATACTCTACAATAATAAGAGTTACAATAGCATTGTATCATAAATTATGAAAGATAAAAGTATTTGTATTATTTCTTGTTCATTCTACACAGTCTTTCACTTACATACTGTCTGTGTCTCAATTTCTGTCATAGAAATGGACGCCGCGTTCAAGTACCTCGATGAACAATCATAGTTTTCGAGGTCGTTTCAATTTCACGTTTTTAATTCGAATCATTTGTACCGGCCACTCAGGCTACCCGCAATTTAATATTTTACGTAGAAACCAGTGGCCCGGGAATCCAATTTACTCGAGAATCGGTTAAAATGGATCTCCGTGATCCTTGCCGCCAACGCGAAACGTGTTAACACGGATGTTGGACGAACGCGATCAATTTAATCGATCCGGACGCGGACCAATAAAACTTTACGGTGATTGCCTCTGCGAGGATTCGCGCCAGATCTAACCCAGACCCGATCTTCTCGCTAACAATAAGGATTTTCATTTCCAGCGAGAGACCGTTTTGATATATCGATTATTGACTGGAAACGATAAGAAGAATATTGTGTATCCCGCTATTGGGTGCTTACGTTGCTCTAGCAAAGTGGTTGTATATCTCACGGGACCTTTTATCCCTTTACTGTTATCGATAACGCTAAACTAATTAGTTGAGTCTAGCTTTAAAGATTCCTCTATGTAAAAGTACTTTAGGGACCTTTAGAACTTCATTCGATTAATTAGTGTTTTTCTACTTCTTTTGCTACACTTGTAGAGCTTTCAGATCCTTCTCTCCAGTCTTCAAAAGTGGCGCGATAAGTAAATGTAGGAATCAAGTCTAGTTTCTTTTGCGATTCCTATTCTATCGGCTCTAGCGAGGCAAAGCGTTGTTCTTTTAGCTTCAGTTTGAAACTAGGGAAAAAGAGGAAATCGTTCGACGAACGATTGGGCGAAAATGACGGTTCAGAGATAACGGGAAGTGAATTTCGTGGTTCCTCCTAAATGATTACCAGGATTTATTTCCGATTTTTATGTTACATCGTTAAAATGGAGGAAATTTTGATGCTACTCAGTGCATCATAGCATTCATAATAGAAGGTATTTTAGAAATCTACCGCGAAACATTTCGTGAAACTTTTAATCATACAGTTTATATCGATTATTCATTATGGATGCACTACGAATACGAGAAAGAAAATTCTGTGCACCTTTATTGAAATCGCGTTGCTCCAGTAGCATCGTTAGATGTTTCACAGGTCCTTTTGTTTCATTAATAATTATACCAGCTCCTCGTTATTTCAGAATTATTCAAGCATCGCGTTTATGGATTTAATTCTCCAGAAAATTACTTTAGAAATTTCTAGGATTTCATTTAGCTAATTAGTATAGTACTTATCCCTAATAATAAAGATTATTCACACTTAGCGAGCCGCGAAAGAATTCGTACGCTTTCAAATGAAAATTTTGACGTTTAAAAAATATCAGTTATGTTAAATTTAAAATGGGCATCATATGAGTATTCGAACGATTCAATTAATAATATATTCTTTGTGTATAGATTATTTTCTGAAGAAGAATTTTCTGTGCTTTCGGTGTTCTATTTTTTTATTTAACGTTTTCATTCATTGTATACGAACAAAAAAGGAACACGTACAATACACGAACTATACCAAGCAGGATGAAAGCAAGATTCTGCAAACAAGACTGTTTTGCGACCTAACCTGAATATTTGATGCTCGCGTAATGATCGAGGAAGGTCGTTGAAAATTTCACAGGACCTCGTTAATAATTAGTCGAGCATCGCGTTTATATGTGACTCTATTTTCACAGTAAAGTTCTTTAAAAGTCTGTAAAATCCTATTCGTCTACTAGTGAAACAGATTTCGAGATGAATTAATCATAAATTTTAAAAACATTTATTCGATGTAATTTGTCCACCTTTTGCTCGAAAGATCAAAAAAATATTAATAATTCAGGAATGAAATTAAACTCCCCAAAGTTTTTATAGAAATAACTATTTCCTTCCTTCTAAAGAAGTAAAAACGTGCGTGTAACTTCGCCTACGTTTATCTACAAACACAGCTGCTACTAGCGAGTTCAATTAATCACTTAATATTAAATTGGTGGGTGACGATCCGACTAATCGGGTTTACGACGTCGATCATGGGCCTCGCAAGCCAGGAGGATTCGATCAAATCCATGCAATTAATTTGCGACAAATGGAGATCAAAGCCCACAATAAGAATGAGCTTAACATATACGAGAATGGAAACAATGACGATTTAATGTAATAAAATACGTATGTACATATGTCTTGATTAAAATTTAACTACATTTGAGCCAGACTCTCTTTCATAAATAATAAATCACCTGTCGTGTTAAGATTTCTTTCGATTTTTCGTATAATACATTATACATGATTTAAGTCCCTGTATACTTTGAAGTAAACTTTAAAGTAATTACAAAGGAATTAGATGTGAAAGGACTTATTCGATTCACCGTAACTCTTATCGAGAGTTTCTGAAATAGAACAGAAACTACGGTCACCGCGATCGAAGCGGCTGTTTCGCGAAAACCAATTTCTCACCAATGGACAATCACTGTACCTTACCACGTAATGTTCCAGGAGTTCCATACGCCGAGCCTCCCGTTGGATCCTTACGATTCTCCCCGCCTAGATCGCCAGAACCATGGCGTGGCGTACGGCAATCATTGGAATTTGCTCCCGTGTGCCCGCAAGTGGCGCCAAAGCTACGAGACGAGGTGAAACCGGTACGCTACGAGTACTTGGAGAAGCTGTTGCCGTACCTCAAGAACCAGAGCGAGGACTGCCTCTACCTGAACATCTACACGCCCCATCAGCCCGAAGGTGAGTGACCCCACGAATAGAGATTAATTGTTTCTAAGATCCTCGAGCTCGATGGCAGTTCGAAATCGAGTTCGACCTCGGTCGAGGACCAATTTCGTGTTTCGAGCTAGTTCCGTCCAGATGGAGAACTTGCACGATCGGTCAGTTAATACTCAATTCCAATAATTTCTACGGCGATGGTGAAACGAAACTGATAAAGCAAGTTTTACAAGTTAGCACAAAGAGTATGTGTCGACAAACGAATTATTAAAACTTGTAAATTTGTCGACGTTACAAGATTTTTACCTGAAATTTTTGCACGTTATGATCGGTAGAAATTGTTAACATAAAAGTACTCCTCCGTCTTGGACGATTAATGGAACCTGCTTACGACTCGCGATACCGGGGAATATATTACTCCGCTATATTACTGTTTACGATCGTCTGTTAATGGTTGCTAGATAATATAGAATCGTGGCATAAAAGAGGCCAATAATATCGTGGGTAGCGCGTATACGTTTCAGGGTGTAAAAGTAAGAGATTCCATGATATAGTCAGGAAGATAAGGAAGCGATTTTTATAGGCTAAAAGTATTGCGGTTTCAGTTATATTCAATTTTCTTTTACGATTATTTTGCTTGCGTTTCATAACTGTTGACTGATCTCACACATGGCTGAGCAATACATTGAATCGAGAGAATTTCTACTTTTAAAAATGTTATGTGGTATGCTGAATTTTCCACTCGGACATTTAATATCGGTTTCTTGTTCAGTTAACGTCTGTTATTTATTTTGCATAGAGAAAAATGTTCTCGACTACAGTCAAATATTTGAGAACCATGGAGAACCTTCGTTACATTATATTGTCTAAAATATTTCTGAATTTTTAAACCGACTTTTCTTTTTGTGTACGACTATTGATATTTTTGATACGTTCGATTGGAATATTATTTTTAATTTAAAAGCGGAGTCTGAATATATTCCGCGAGACAATTTTCTAAATTTTTTTGCATAACGGACGCGTCTGGCTATAAAGGTAACATGCATTCAGGCGAAACCTTTTGTTATAAACTTTCATGAATACAAACAGTGTATACAGTGATGTAGCAGATGCACCAGATGCATGCGTTGCTTTCGCTAAAACGACTCGAACGCACGAAACAGTGGAATTCTTTCAAAAAGGGCCGTTGTATATAGTTTGTTATCAGGCACAACAGACGTTTTGAAGCTGGTAATAAAATCTCAATGGCGAAATGACAATGGACGAAACAGTTCAATTCCTTTGCAGTGTATATTTTCTATTAGATCTTATTCTTCGAAATCGCATATCCTTTTTCGAAGTCTTCGATGTTCTTCGAATTTATCGAAGCGTTAAGGTACACCGAAAGACACTTTGTCCGCGTGCAGAAACATTTGATGAATTTTCATGCCACATTGCTCGTCTTTTGCATCAAAGGAATTGTGATTTGACGCTTACCGTCTGTCGAGATTTGGTTGAGAAGCAAAATTCTTGGTTGAAGTTGCAGGATGTTCTACAAGAACAGTCTAAATGTCTCAAAACTTAAGGATACTAAATTCTATAAAACGTATAGGACTACAACAATAACCCTATACTATTCCAAAATACCTAGGTGTATAAAGTCCTAGAATCGGGAGTATTGTTCGCAAATAGGGACTTTTCACCGCGAGAATTACTTTGCTAGTGCACGTTTGACAAACTTATCCGTTTCCTCTTTTTCTCGGTATCCTCCGAGAAGCTAATTAAACGTAATCTCTCGCTCCTGCGATGAGCCGTTAATTAAGGGGAAAAAATTGTGGAGCGTTGCGTCGATTCTTCCCTCGGGGATTACTAGAGATTTTCTTTCGTTTATTTCTTCCCAACTCTGCTGGAAACTTCCGTCCCTTTCTGTTTCTCTCGTTCACAACACGATCAATGTTTCTTTTTATCCGTTCCGCAGATAAGGATAAAAATTAACTGAGAAGGGGTGTGTTTTGCGGCGAAAAGTAAACATTATTTTCTGCTTCTGGCGAAGTTCTCTGGTTGCGAACATGGGGTAAAAACGATGTTAGAATGTCGTTGGGGTGCTTAAAATTTTCTTACGTTCGAGGAACCGGGAATTTTTTGAGTGCGTTAACAATAGTCTATTTTATTGTTTTTAATAATACGGTAGAACGTCGATTACAAAAGAATCTCTTATTGGAAATTCAGATTATTGTGACAATCACAGAGACAGAATAGAATCCTTATTTGTTATTGAAAAAATAACTCCTACCTCTTTATTTGGACGATGCAGTATATTCAGAGTATTATGTTTGTTTATTTTTTTTAATTATACCACGGTTTTGGAGTCTTTCTGTATAATTTTCTATTAGAAGCACTTTCAACCAGATTGTGCGATTCCCAAATATTTTGCATTGGGAAGGAAGTTTGGAGCCGGTTCGCGTGGATTCGAAGATGCGTTCGAGGAAATACGAAAGGTCGATGAAAGATGCGCCAACGTTGCAAATAAATTGGAACCGTCCGGCCACGGGTTACAGGGGCTGTTCTCAGAAAGATATATGTGCCCTCTTAAATACTGGAGCCGTGCTGGATGCGTGGGTGGGGGGGCGGCAGACGAGGAGAAAGCCGCTTTCAGCGGGCTCGTGGCTCTGATAGGACGCGTGCCCCCCATGGGCTTGTAAAATATCGGGAAATTCATTAACGGTCGATCTGCGGGGCCCGAGAAAATAAATTTCGTCCGTGGATGAAATTTACGGCAGCAGTACGGCGACGCGACGCCTTAAAATGAAAACGGACAGCGGCATCGATGGCACGTTGCTCTTCGACAGTTTTGTGCTGTGGCTTTGCACTACAGACTGGAAGTTTTCAAAGTAGAGGATATCCAAACCATGAAATCAAAATCATTTCGATTTTAATTTAGTACAGCATCTTGTCAACTATATTTCATTTTTATAAAAGAACTTTTGTCAAGTAGCTATTGAAAATTTCCAAGAAACTCTGGATAATATGTTGGATCCATTTTGTCGAATCATACAATTTTTACTCCAGGCTGGTATAGTGCTAATAAAAATATACCAAAATATAACGAATCATATATCCCAGTAATCGCCAACCCATTAGTATTAATTTCTTTCTCTTTTCAATTCAATTTTATATCTGTTTTTATCGTATCTCGTAAAAACATTTCATTATACGGGACTTAAACGTAAGTATCGAATGATAAATTAAAAACTGTACACGCAGTAAATTAACAATTTCACAGTGGAAGTCGTGACGTTTGTATAATTAATGCAAAATGTAAACCGGGAACTGCAGTAAATCCTTTTTCCTCTTTTATTCGTTACCGATGAAATTATATGAAATTATTATCTCGATGGCACGCGAGGAAAAATAACGAGAAATCCGTCGCGATTGTGTTACATTTTCAAACACGGTTCAACCTGTACGCTTTCCACGTATATATTCCGTTGTAATGCGTTCTTGGAACCGATTCCTTTTTTCCTTAGTTCCTGTGTTTGCTTTGTAAACGTGACAATTCGATCAATTTCAACCTAGCCGATGCTGGTTAGGTTTTTTGATACACAATTCGTCCGTTACTGAACAGCGAATTTCAGAAAGCTATCGTTGCACCGGCGCGATTTCATTTTGGTCGCAGTCGAAAGGCACTAATTTCTACTAGTAACTTCGTTCTCGGTTGACGAATCACACGGAACAGACGTACAGACGTGGCGCTGGAAATACTATTTTGAGGTTCTTTTGCATTGGAAAACCCATTACACGGCGCCATGACGGAACGACGCCCGCGGAATAATAATGAATTGCTCCCGTATGAATGACAGGCGTGTTTTTTGTTCAACACGTGTGTCTGTTTTTCGGAACTAAAAAGATTCCAGGCGATCCCGTTAATCAGTTTAATCCACTCTTTCTATCGTATCATTTCTTCTATTATTTTATCCACTTTTTACTCCGCACTGCACGGATTTTATTTTACCTTTCCAACGAATTCTAAATTCTCTATCAATTTCTGTAGAGATTTGGAAGTATCAGAAATACTGTAAAAAAACTCTTATTCGGCGGAAAATATTGTCTCGAATGATATTTTATAACGTCATCTTGCGAAAGGGGGCAAGTGTCAAGAGGGTCCGTGGAAAAAAGAAAGGTTACGAGCACAGAACACAAAAGTATTTCCATTTTTAGAGTATCATGGCAGCTTAAACGATTTAAGGGGTCGTCGTGTGGGGCTGAAACAGTAAGCAAAAAAAGTTTTTATAGAAATCTAAGCCGATGAAGTTGGGGGTAGCGGTGTCAGGTGTGCGGTCCGGAACACGTCGGCTTGCTCGACTCCGTTCACGTTTACTCACGTTTACGGATTTTCCAGTGAATTCAATTTCTTCGTTGGCCTTAATCCATACCCCTCGCAGAATGCTCGTTGATCCCCTTTGTCCGGCATCGGAGTATCGGAGTCCCGTAATCCTGTGCGCCGGAGACAAATTTAAGACGGGCGGGTTAGGTCTGGCAAATTTCGTTTCCTCCTTGCTTCGAGCACTTTGATCCCGCGGAGCTGCCGTGGAAATTGTGCCTATTGCTTTCCACCGGCCTTTTAACGGCGAACGGAAGCGTGACGTCTTGTTTCCGGCACCGCGGCACGCTGTCCGTTCCCATTCGGAGGTTCCTTTTTCCGTTAAATTGAAAAATAGATATCGGTGATCGAGGATGCAGGGATTTGGCGAACCGACCAATGAGATTGTACGTGCAATGCAATTGGAAAGCGTGACGTGTAAAGGCGATTTAGGGTGTGCCAAGAGAATTACAAACCTATTTTCAGAGGAAAGCATGCTTCCGTATAAGCCGCTTATCCACTCTAAATTGTTTGTGAAATTAAATTTCATTCAAAACGAATGTTTCCAGCTTAGGTCAGATAATGATAAATAAATTGAAAACTAAACTATCTGCTCTGGCATATCCCGCGAACCTAGCGGATGCAAATAATAGCAAGAACCGCCCGTTAAGCGCGCCAATCG